GCACTTAGGGCATATTGGCATTTTCCAGAGCTCACATTGTGATGGAAATATGTATTTACTCAGTGTATGACACTGAGAAATCATGTATGAAATTATGTACCTTCACAATCAGGTGTTGGTGCTGACCAATTGCCATCACTTAGACAGCTGAGTGTGGCTTTTCCTCTCAATTTGTGTCCCTCAACACAGGAAATATTGCAAGTAGAACGAAAAGAGTACTTTCCCAAAGGATCAGCACATGTCAGATGACCCTTTGCAGGAGCTAGGATGCCATTACAGGTCACCACTGCGACAAATGCATAAATCACTGATTACTGTCTATTCAAACACAGAAAACAATGCTTGAAAACAGTCTTTTTTACAGTCTGTGCACTTCTAGGGTGTGTCTTAGTAGTGTTACCCAACATTAAAATTAAAATTTTTCGCAAGAAAGGAAGGGAAGTGCACTATTCCTTTGAACTAATAAAAAACTTTTAAGTCAGGTCTACATGCATATTCAGTGCACTTGTATGAACCATTATATTTATAAGAATAATACAATATAATTAGAAGTATATATATTACATTTTATTTTTAAAAATGAATTAGTTGCCATTTTGTGACATTTGTTGCTCAAAAAGCAGCAACTACTGCTTGCAGTACCAAGGTCATGGGACTGATTCACAGGGAATGCATAAACTTACTAAACTGTACATGGATACAATGATATAAAAGTCTGGCAAATGCATAAAATGTAATATAAAATGTGAATTAATGATAGGTAAACTAATAAATGACATTTCATCTAGTTTAATGCTATTAGGACAATCAAAATGATATGAACTGATGCCAAACCTGTACAAATAGGGGTGCTATGTGTCCAGTGCCCAGTATGGTCACAGTGGGTGGAATCTGCACCTTTAAGCACAAAACCCTCTTCACACTTGAACTCACAGCTGGAATTGTAGCTGTTGGTGGAGAGAGGGTGTGTGCAGGTCATACTTCCATAACTTGGTGCATCAGAGAGAGGCGAACACTGTATAGCTGTGGAAAAACCTGAAGCATCTCATAAACTGATTTTGCTGGAACTACAGTATGAACTGAAGATATGTGTATGTATGTATATGTATTGTTAAAGATGCATTTTACCTTTGCAAACAGGAGGGATGTGACTCCAGTTCCTCTGTTCGGTACAGTGAGTGGAATTTGTACCATTGTGGACAAAACCAAAATCACATTTTAACCAGCAAGTGGAGCCATAAGCAAACTTCTCCACATGGTCATAACATTGCAGGGAGCCATGTGGAATGGGCTTCAATGGGTCACACTTTACAACTGCCAAAATTAGAAGAGAATAGTACAGACAAGACAGGTTATAGACTTAATTGAGTATGTGTGAGTGTAGAACAGCATTGTTTATGATTTTTTATTTTTTTTTGCAGTGCACTTAGGGCATATTGGCATTTTCCAGAGCTCACATTGTGATGGAAATATGTATTTACTCAGTGTATGACACTGAGAAATCATGTATGAAATTATGTACCTTCACAATCAGGTGTTGGTGCTGACCAATTGCCATCACTTAGACAGCTGAGTGTGGCTTTTCCTCTCAATTTGTGTCCCTCAACACAGGAAATATTGCAAGTAGAACGAAAAGAGTACTTTCCCAAAGGATCAGCACATGTCAGATGACCCTTTGCAGGAGCTAGGATGCCATTACAGGTCACCACTGCGACAAATGCATAAATCACTGATTACTGTCTATTCAAACACAGAAAAAAATGCTTGAAAACAGTGTTTTTTACAGTCTGTGCACTTCTAGGGTGTGTCTTAACAATGTTACCCAACATTAAAATTAAAATTTTTCGCAAGAAAGGAAGGGAAGTGCACTATTCCTTTGCTATTCCTTTGAACTAATAAGAAACTTTTAAGTCAGGTCTACATGCATATTCAGTGCACTTGTATGAACCAGGAACTGCCTGGTGATTCAGTGAGGATTGTTCTGCAGAGGTGCTGTACCTGTGCAAGTGGGGGGTTTGTGTGTCCATTGCCCAGTCTGGTCGCACCAGGTTGTATTCGAGCCCTTGAGCTCAAATCCCTCTTCACACTTGAACTCACAACTGGAGTTGAAGCTATTAATGGAAAGGGGATGAGTGCAGTTCATACTCCAACCACCTGGGGCATCAATAATGGGCAGACACTGGACAGCTGTAAGGGTAACATGTTTTTAAACAAGTCTAAACATATCAGCAATCAAATAATAATTCACTTATTTTTTAGTTTATCAAGCTGTAAGTATTATAGTTACTGCTGTACAATTCATGCATGCACTTTCAGAAATAAAGGTACAAAGCTGGCCGGGGCAGTATCTTAAAGTACAAAAGCTAATTTATTTACACCTAAATAGTACATATCAGTACTTTAAAGGTACATATCAGTACTTTTTGAAAAGGTACCACCCTTGACAGATTTGTACCTTTTTTTCTGAGGGTGTGGCAACATATTCTGGACCGTACCCTGACAAACAGGAAGAGCGTTATCCCAATGCCCTGATGCCAGGCAGCGTAGCCTCTGTGACCCCTCCAGCTTGAACCCTGTAACACATCGGAACTGGCATGACGAGTTAAAATGAAATGCTCCAAAAACACCGTCACAGTTCACAAAACCTTGCTGTGGATTTTCAATTGGCCAGCACTGGACAACTGCAAAAGTGAAAATGGTAACTTAGTTACAAAATGCACACAATGAAGACCAAATATTTAAACTTGGATCGATTCTACTGCACCTTCCTCACAGCGTGGGCCCATGAAACCCGGGTGACATTGACATCTGTAGTTGCCAATAGTCTCCACACACTCAGCATGCTCACTGCAGGATTCCTTTGAACAAGAGGCTGCAAACAAGAAATAAAGATGCAATGACCACAAATGAGGGCTGAGGTTTCAATCAGAACTGGATACATTGTACACTTATTATTCAACAGCAGTTAATGTGCACTAAACAGCAAATAATCTCTCCAAATGTACTAAACATTCTTAAAAAGAATTAATTGTTTTGATCTGATTGAGAAGCAATCACTTCAGGACACCTGTGCCATCCGCTTCCACTTATCTGTACAAAAACAATCCGTTATGCTGCTTGACATTACAAACGGGTATTTCTTATTATATTATTTTATTTATTATAGTATTCATAAACACACTGGTTTGTGGCGCAAACAGTTTACAGCACATCGTTATTCTAGATATGTAGCCTACCTATCGCGGATAATGAATCGGAAGTCTCGCACATTCACAGAAAATAGCTTTACTTCCGCATTGCAAATTGAGTTTAGGCCAAGGACCCCACAAGTATAAACTAAAGTTTATGTAAGCAATAAACATGCATATGAAATATGAAAATCGAATACGCCATAGGAAAACTATTTACATACTTTTACGACAGTAAGGCCATTGAAATAATCATTATTGACGTACATTAACATATACATTTGTTATATTACACAAAGCTTTATCATTTAAATTATTTCAAATTTATTTAAAATTAAACTTCACAATATTGATATATTTCATTTTATCAAGTGTGTTCACCTAAATAACAGACAGTTGCTTTCTTTTTGCTGCACCTCTCATCATTCCACTTGGCTGTTTCTTTGCGCCTCTTAATGTAGATCTCTACACAGTCTTGTTCAGATCCCTTGTTATTTGGTTCATTTTCCGCCCAGTTTGCGGCTTCAGGGTCCAAGCGCTTTTTGGTCCCAACCCACGTCCAGTAGCCATCAATCTTCCTAATGCCAATCCAGTAGTATACTTGATTGAAAGGTAGAACCTGGTTGAGGTATTCAACTTCTGCCTGGTTTTGGATGGCCACCATATCAGTGAAATGCTTCTGACACCACTGACGAGCTGTTGTCCAGTCCACATTAATGTCTATGTTGTAATGGTAAGTCCAGGCTTTGACTGTTAAGCACAGTTGCATTGCATCAGAACTTAGTTTCTTATAATGTAGCCTATAGTTCATTTGTGAACAGCTTTTACTGTGAAACTTTGTATGTGGTCTGTGATCTATTTATGAAACATGTTGATTAATTGCCCAACAATTCATATAGGACTGTAGAAATAGAGTAAACAAGAACATACCATTATAAATTCCAGTTATAAGGACAAGATATTCAAATAGTCTATGCGCCCACAAAACCATCTGAAGGATGAGAAATGCATATGAATGTTTATTAGGACATTATTTATATTCTCGTTTAAGGGGTCCAGATGCTTTTTGGAGTAATATTCATTGTTTTATTCATACCCAAATAAAATATAATCAATAGCTGTAAAATATATAGGCTATAAAAAGTAACGCAGATTGTTCATCTTACCGTAATTGCAGTTATGCAGTTTCATTTATTCTGTGAGGATTTCTGAGAACACTTTCACAGTTTGATGCATACGAAATTACTGTCAAACGTGATTTGCCAATATTCAGTTGCAGTACATGGTAACTAAGTTATGGGAAATTGTGTAATAGTGCTGCAATAAAAGGAAAAGCAACACAACAGTGTTTTAGAGACTGTTGTTTTATGCCAGAAATACAATCGTTCATGATTTTTAGTGTCACACATTCTCCAGCTCACACTGTTGTTTTTTTTGTACAGCGACAATGAACAACATAAAGCATTTCTGAGCAAAAGATGACAAAGAGATTATTGACTTTCATTTATTGACTATTTCATATTTGCACAAACAAAGCTAGTCTCTAAAAAATGAACAGAAGATTTTAATCAAACCCAGTTTAGACATCCAGATTAGAAATGTTTATGCTGAACATCTACTTCTCCATCTACAACATCTACTTCTCCATCCGTCATCCTTCAGTAGTGTGTGCCAAACTACTCAACCTGAATGGCACACACACACCTGGACAGAATATGAGCGACGACAGGACTTCATATCAGCTTCCGAGTCATCATGTGGTTGACACATCCCACAAGGACGCTGATAAAACAGTTTTTCAATGAATTGTTCACTTTAATAAGTTACATCGCTATCACACTGGCCTGTCTATGTGCATGAGGAATATATGCTCACCGTATATGCTGTATGCTATTTGATGCTATTTTGGTCTATATGAGACTGTCAATACTGTTCTTATAAATCTGTGGTGGATCCTCAGTATCCGAGGTACTAAAAATTTAATAGACAAAAGCAGAGTTAAACAGGATATAGTCTTATAAACCAAAAGCGATTAATAATGCCAGTAATGCAACTTAAGACATATCTTACCTGTTCACGTCAAATTTGTTAGCTGAAAACAAAACAACATAATTTAGCATTTTAATTCATTTTCAATATATTATTAAATAATTTTATGGAAGAACGTATTCACAAACTCAGTAGACTGTTTGGCTCACCTTTTCTCCTCAGTCTCTTCAGTATCCAGAGGACTAAGCCCAGACTGGAACCGCTGATAGCGGCTGCAACCCCAAGAGTCACTTCTGTCACTTCGAAGAATGATGCAGAGGGATCTGCTGAAAATACATATAAAAGGAAATGAGCTGTAGAATGTTTTTCTCATTTCATCAACAAAATGACATATCTTCATCCCACAGTCACTATATCAGCTGTTTACCTTGACACACTGCCAATTCCCCTGACCAGCTCCCATTGTAGTTGCACATCACCATCTCGTTACTGTGGTCTTCAAGTTGGTGGCCTTCATGACAGCTGAAGATGCAGATGGTGCCAAAAGTGGGTTCTTCAGATGAGCAGTTCATATGCCCGTTGATTGGCTCAGGAAGTTGTGGGCAGACCATTGCTACAGAGTTGAAAAAAAACCAAAGGCGAACTTAGGCAAACTTATTTTTTGAAATACAAAAACTAACATTAAATTAACCTGTAAATCCATAAATGTGGCAAAAGGTTGTTGATTACCTTCACAGCGAGGTGGCTCCTGACTCCACTTTGCCGTTTTTGTACAGCTGATCTCTGAAGCTCCCTGGAGTCGGAATCCTTCAACACAGCTGAAGCTGCATTTGCTCCCATAATTAAAGCTGGAAGTGCAGCTCAGCTCTCCATTTACAGGACTGTCAAGGGCTGGGCAGTGAATAACTGGGAGGAAAGGGGGGAATTTATGAACAGATCAGACAGTTTTCATAAGAGTTTTTCCAAGGAGCAATTGTAAAATATACATCAGATGTCTTTTTTGCTTGCACAATATAATTTCAACTCACGTTCACAGGTTGGTGGTTTGCTTGACCACTCTGTGGTAGAAGTGCATCTTGTCGTTCTGGAACCTATTAGTTCATAACCCTCCTCACAGAAATATTCACACTGAGAGTCATATGAGAAGTCTTCATGAGGATGAGAGCACTGGATAATAGCATGATCTAGTGGAGTGATGTCCTCCGGTTTGCATTTTACAACTGAAAATCAGAAAACAGGTAAAATGGTTACATTTCACACCTTTCAATTGTCAACATAGATATATTAACAATATCTAGAAAAATATTACCCACCATGTTCACATCGGTCTCCATAGAAACCCCCAAAGCATGAGCATTTATGGCTGTTTATGGTTTCAACACACTTTCCTTGACCACTGACACAGGAGTCGTCTTTGCAGGATGCTGAAAAAGAAAAAAATGGATAATTACTCATTGATGAATTCATTTTTCATTCACCTTACAACAGGGGCTGTCAAAGTGGGGTCCGCTACCCATAGACAGGGGGTCTGCAAAATAATGTTAGGGCTGTGATATCCCCAATGGGAAAAATGTGGTCATACAAATGGAATTGACTGTAATGCAGAATGTCACGGAATTTGGCAAACCTTGCATAAATAAATCAAAAGTAGCAGAATTTTAACAGTAAAACTCTGTTATGCACCACTTTGTATGACAAAATGTAAGTAATAGTTAAATAATAAGTTAATAAATTGTTAAATTTTATAGGTTTTGTGATTTAAATTAATGAAATCATACCATATCAGACATGCTTTTTGATTGTTTAATTTAACCATTTAAACAGAAAAATCAAAACAGAAAAAAGATGGAATCTAGAAGTTACAATGGCATTTGAGAGTACAAATTTTAGTAGGCATATACTTAATCACTGTTAGAATTATGAGGTGGTCCTTGTAAAAATTTTCTCCCCTGTATTATAGGGGTCCCTGACCACATAAAGACTACCTACCCGTGTAGCACAGTGCAGTCTTCTTCTTTAAGCAGGATTCATCATTCCATTTGCCTTCATCTGGCACTCTTTTAATGTATATTTCCACACAGTCTTCATTATTCCTTCCATTATTGGGCTCCATATCTGCCCAGTTCTCAGCTTCCTTGGTAAGCATCTTATTAGTTCCCACCCAGGTCCAAATGCCATTAATTTTACGAATGCCTATCCAGTAATATCCATTGACTTTTGGAAGAATACTGTTGAGGTGATAAATCTCATCTTTGTTCTGGATGGCTACCATGTCGGTGTAATGCTGCCTGCACCAGTGTCTGGCAGATTCCCAGTTCATAGTGATTGTTGAGTAATGGTATGACCAGCCTTCAGTGCCTCTCCATATGTTTAACACTGCAGAATTAAACCATTGCAACTTTGAGTGAACTATGTTTACAGGTTGTATTTATTTATTTACACTAGTATGGTTTGCTTTCTTACCTGAAGAAATAAGAACAAGGGAAGCAAAAAATTGCAATGGTACTTTGTTGAAAATGCCCTGCAAAATTAAAGGATTATATCAGTTGGATGAACATAATATTTATTGATACTAAAATTATAGAAATGCATATTTTAAATGCTTTACGTACCATTGTCAATGATGTTCAGATATGAAATGGTCCTGTTAATGGTCGTCTCTGTACTTCTCTACTAATATGATGGTTCTGATTTGAGGACCTGGTCTGGTAATCACTGGCATTTATATAGGAGCTCAGCTATGGTTTAGGACTCCCCTTCCCGGATCCACTTGTGACATCAGCCAGTAAAAGCAATGGAATTCTAGTCTCTGGAAATACCCCTCTCTAACACTAAGCAAGGAAGGAACACTTTCATTTTTTACACTCTCAAGGTGTTAGTTTGCAAGGAAGTGACCTCTCGGGAAATAGAGATTTTGGTGCTGATACGGCCACAGCAGGATGACTGCATAATTTCACAGTATGTTCAGAAATAGAAATAACAATTTCATGACATTTTTTTAAAACTAATTATTGTGTATACAATTACAACTTTCACTTTTTGGTGCGAAAAAAGTCAACAGGGAGATCTAATGGCAGAAACACTCACATTTTTTGTGAATATCTTCAGCTCTGTTTATAAAGGAAAAGGGGATACAATATGTGTCAAGAGGGGAATCACTAGGAATTGTTGCCAGTAATTATTCCATTGGCGCCTTTACCGTATCTTTCCAGTTACGTGGAAATAAAATTAATGGTGACTTTTTCTACTCTTTGTAAATGTCATGACAAAATACACCATACAATTTTAAGACATTTAATTAATTCTACAAACTGATATTATACAAAAGTAATAATAATAATAACTTATTATAAAGTATTACAAGGAACACCCATAAAAATATTCACAATTATATTTAAAAGTAAAAATCAAAAGTAAGACAGGAAGCATTGTATATGGGACACATTTGTTCGATTATTAAACTAGAATCAGAATCAGAATCAGAATCAGAATAAGTCCACGAACAGGATCCTCACATAAGTCCCTGGTCTGTCTAGATGTTGCCTATTTCCTATCTGGCTATCTGGCCTATTTCCAATTTCCTTTGTTTTAAAGCTGTTATTGTACTTAAGATCCCCAGAGGTTTCTCGTTTTGAAGTTTGAGTTTTTGGCACTTGATTTCTGTATGACCTTGACCCTTTTTGGATGCCACTCTGTTTAATGTGTTTGCACAGAGTTGTACCAGCTTCCGTGTTATGGAAATAGCTGCCATGAGGGCACCGGAAAATCAGTGAGCAAAGAGAAAAGAATAATAATAAATGTGTCAAAATAATTTGTGATAGCTAACTTATCTAATATCATATAATTTTAAAGCTCATACAAACATTTCCATTTATAAACAAATCTGATATAAACATCTCCATGCAGTTAAGAATGATTTGTTTCTATTCTTTCGTTTTTTTTTTTTATTATTATTATTATTATTCACCTAAATGATCAGAGTGGATCAATGCTATAGTTATCACATGCATATTAGACTGAGCTTGAAGCAGAATAAATGAATTAAAATTGGACCTGTGGAAATGATGATGATGGAAATAACATTTGAAGAATGTTTGAAAAAAGGCTGACTTTCTATGTTTCAAAAGTACAGCTTGCTAGGAAAAGGTGCACAATAAAAAAAATCTGTTATTCTATAGGGTTAATTCAGGTTAATTAGTAAATTTTTCTCAGTCATCTCAATGGCAAAGAGTGTCCCAGTTTACCTGAATTCACCCCTACGTGATATTTACCTTGATGTTTTTTTATTTGGGGAAAATGGATCTGATAGAAATGATGTCACAACTGAGGGACAATCACCAGTAAAAACAAAACATTTTCACACTATAAATACTTAAATGGTTACTGATTGGGCTTTGGATTGTCATAGTTTTGTTGGTTTTTTTTTTTGTAATAAACATTTTTATGATGATGTTAGGCCTGTGATAGATTTCAATTCAGTTTTCAGTTTATGATTGAAAGTTTGGGACAAGGGTTAAATAATAAAATATATACATAAAATGCATTGGAAAAGTAGCAATAATTGATAAATTGATCAAATCAAAGATATAAAAAACCTTCATATAACACAAAGAAGGCACACAAAACAAACAAACAATTATTTTATAGGCCTATCTTGGTGAAAATTCAGGGCATCCTGGTTACTCCAAGATGATCCTCTTTCATTCATCTTTCATGGCATTCATTTGGGATTTTTTGATTCTAGATGAACAACAGGGGGAAATTTGCTAAAACAAGAAGCACAACAATTATTACATTGATGATTAGTTACAGTAGGCTAGCTATGCTGGTGTGGGCTGAGAGGGAAAGTCCGCAGGTCTGTATAAAGGAAGGAGTGCTGAGAGGGAGATAACGGGCAAAATGTCACATTGACAATAATGTTAATTTTTTTCAAGTTTGACATAAACTGTATGAAGAACCAGATAATAATAATAAAATAATAAATATCTGAATTTTTATTTTGTACTAAGTAATTTACTCCAATTGATAGTTTCTCCCCCTTTATCCAAAAGCATTTTTCTTTACTTTAAGTTTCTACCAATATTTATTCATTATAATTTCTGTTTTTATATATTTTTCGTGTTATTTTTATGACGTATTTCCGGTTTGTATTAGCGTCTGAATTATTACAGTTTCGGATGGATAGGAAATGCAAAAGCACAAAACTCAAGCCTCAGCCAGCTCCAAGTAAGTCCCATTGTGGCACTATCAACTGTGCCACCTTGGAAATTCATAAAGCCATCTGTAGATATAAGCCTTCAACAAATGTTAATACTGGCATGCCTGTTGCCAGCAGCTGCCACAGGCACAGCGAAGATGGCAGACGCTCTGAGCAAAGTGCCCGACATCGACATTGATCCAGAGGGAAAGTTTAAATACATATTAGTGAACATAAAGGTTAAAGGTGGAACGGAACAAAAAGTGATAGTGAGGGGAACTAAAACTGCGGAGTACCACAGTAAGTGTGCACGCTTGCAAGTGCAATAACGTGACTGTCTTGTCTCTGCAAGCCAGCGAGTTAACTTTATCCTTAACTTCAGCTCAGTAGTATTTATAAATCAACTAGTTACGTCCATTCTGTTCCTCACTGTTCATGGGCACTGAGGAAAACATATTTTGTAGGAAAGTAACGTGTGAACATAAAAACGTTGGTAAAAATGATTGACTGGTATCATTGCATTGACTTTGCGGCTGGATTGAGATGCTAAATTGTGAAGAAGATTTAGTACTAGCTGTAGTAATATGTTTAGTTGAATACAAAATCTTGACAGGCTCACAAGACTGAAACTCAAAATAAACGTCATGGGTATTATTTATGGAATGGTTCATTTTTCCTATTCATCCTTCTTACTACATCACTCAACTTTTTTATTAAGATCACATATTTGAAAAAGTGAATCCTGCTATGGAGACCTTGGGACTGGAGTGTAGTTGTCTTGGTGGTGGCAAGATAGAGCACAACAACACAGAAAAGAAACTTCGAGTGTTTGGAGAGTCTACGGTAACACCATTAACCATTATTACAACCACTTAATATTGTGACAAAATAAGGTTATAGCTTAGGGTTACATGAACACCTGCAACAACTACTGTTTCATAGAGGTGCAAAAGGTAGAAGTGGGCCTACTATACAGATGTTTATCTTTTTTTATATCAAGTAAATTTCATCAGATCACATCTCTTAATTAAAAGGAGACCCTTTAATATGCTTAAAATAGACTCGGTATGTAAAGAGAACAAACCCCAGAGAATTCAAATAAGTGCACAATTTTGAGCATGAATGTTTGTGGGCCTTTCCTAACTTTTAAAGAAATAAATGTTAGGCATGTTCTTGGTGTTTTGTGTCAAAGCTTGCTTTTAAAGAGACATATCTTTTCTCACATATCTTTCCTTCTTCTAGGGATATGGGAAGGCTGACCATGCTGTCACAGTGGAAAAGCTAAAATCTGTCTTCAAAGACTATGAAATCATTATGGAATAAAATACTAAATTGATCACTTTAAATGGGCATGAATATTTTGTGAAAGTACACAATTTGATAACACTTCAGCTATCCCTTATTTTCATTTGGATAAAAATTTAGGCTGATGAGATGGTAAATAAATGTTCACTGATCTGTCAGCAGTGTCAAAGTTGAGGTTAGATCGCTGACCTTGATAGCGAGGTCTAACATGCACAGGAACTCTGCGTGTGTTTTTAGCAGAGTCATAAACAATTCCAGTCTCCTGTCTCCATCACGGAATGTGTCTGTGTAGAGATCAGGAACAGATAAAAGAGTGTCTATGATTCATGGTATGTCTAATTAACTTGTTACTGGACTTCGTTGAGAAATTTGGCTTTGAGATACAAGCATACAAATTTTTATGGATCCATATTTGGTAAAAAAAAAAAACATTTTACTGAATCAGTCACCATTACAATTAAATTGTAAAGGCCCATTATTGTGTAAAGTCTTACATTTATATAATTATAGTGCATATGGATCTTATTTTACACATGGCATGTGTTTTGAACATAAGTGATTTTTCCATCCTGTTTCTAAGTTAAAACCTTCACCAGTTTCCTCTAGCCTACCGTGAGACCCTGAAACTGTAATAATGGGGTTTATGCAATGTGTGCTTGGGCTTTTAGTGCTGGTTGCATTTGATCATGTGTACAGTGCCAGGCCAAAGGCTCGAGTGTTTCATCCCCGGGTGCTGATGCAAGAACCTCAACGTGTTGATTCTCAGCTTAGGGAGCAGTGGAATTCAAACCAAGGTTCTAATGGAGTTCAATCTCGGAGGCCCCAGCAGGCCCTGCTTACTTCAAATCTGGCACCTTCAAGTATTCAGTCCAAACAAGAATTGCTGGGCCCAGTCAAGGAGCTGGTCTGGAAGTTCCCAAAGGTCCAAGAAGAGCCAGTACAGCCAGATTTTAACTTTGAGTTGCAGCAGCCTAGACCTTCCGACAGTGTAGCAGTCCAGTGTTGGGAAAATGGGGTGCATGTGGAAGTGAAGCAGGACTTCTTTGGTACTGGCCAGCTGCTTGAGCCCTCTCTTTTATCTCTAGGGGGCTGTGCTGTAGTGAACGTGGATGCAGCTGCCAAAGTCCTGATCTTTCACTCTGCACTTCAGGAGTGTGGTAGTCAGTTTATGGTGTGTCTTCTGGCTTTTTAACAATGTTGTGAATTTACTCCTTGCCAAAGTCCTGCACATTCAGCAGCTTCTAAATTCCTTCTTTCTTGCAGGTGACTGAGAATGAGCTTGTCTATATCTTCACCCTTGATTATAGACCAACAGCATTACAAAGCACTCCAATTGTAAGGTCCAGTGGTGCTACAGTTGGTATTAAATGCCACTACCCCAGGTCAAGTGTTTTCTTTACTTGCATTACTAGTGTAATTTTACAATTCAAGACTTTTGGACCTGAATGAGCATTTCATTACAGGAGACACAATGTGAGCAGTAATGAAGTGCAGCCAGCTTGGATCCCATATGCGTCCACCCAGGTTGCAGAGGATATTCTGGTTTTCTCCCTGAAGATCATGACTGGTTCGTTTTTCTTTTTTATTATTATTATTATTATTATTATTTATAAATTTATTATTATTTTTATTATTATTATTATTGTCGTAAAGCCGACCTCATACGTCATTCGCCCAGAGCTGCATCCTTGTACAACTGTTGGCGCAAGTGCTATACCTAGTAAAGTATTGTGTCGTTTTAAAGAATGCAGTAAAACCCCTATTCTGAATTATATAACCAGAGGCGGACAGTAACTAAGTACATTTACTTGAGTATTGTACTTAAACATTTATTTTTTCATTGCATTTATACAAAGATATTTTGGGTTGATGTCGAGAATTTAATTACAAGAAAACTTAATACAGCTGTTAAACTGGATGGGTCTGATATAATGATATATGTTAATGATTATGGGATAGAAAAGATCTTCATTATTGTGTTCTTTTTCTTTATTCCTCTGGCAAATTTTTTATTTTACTTGTAATAATGTGTACTGATGGCATTTATATTTTATTATTATATTATATATATGCAACATTGTAATTCTCTTGTTGTTATATACGTTCATATGCAAAAAAAAGAAGAAAAAAGCTGTTGGCGCAAGCTACATTAAAGTGATTATTACGTTTTTAATATGTTTTATTATTTATATATATGCAACATTGTAATTCTCTTGTTGTTATATATGTTCATATGCAAAAAAAAGAAGAAAAAAGCTGTTGGCGCAAGCTACATTAAAGTGATTATTACGTTTTTAATATGGATATTTTTCTTACAAAAACGCATCGATTCGCTACAGGAGGCCTTTGTTCACCCCCACCCACTGAGTGCCATTAAACAGCTTGAAAGATCAAAGACCATTTTTAATATAACTCCGACTGGATTTGTCTGAAAGAAGAAAGTCATA